CCAGTCTGGGCGACAGAGTGAGACTCCAACTCAAAAAAAAAAAAAAAGAAAGAAAGAAACCTTGACTCAAAACAAAACAAAAACAAAAAACCCTTCAGATTTCCTGGTGGGTCCCACCTACCGAGATTCTGACACTGCAGTCGCAAGGGTGAGGTCCAGCCTCCTGTGTGTTTACCGAGAGTTCCTAAGGAATCGGTAGCCCCGACCCTGGGCATCCGTCCACTCTCTGGACGTGGTTTTACAGAATCCAGCAGTAGGCTTCAACCTTGTCACTTGTTGTTTAGTGAATGCCTTTGGGAAAAAGGCTTATAGGATGACTTTTTTCCCTAGAAGATCAAATTTAGCTTTGTTTAAACTTCTCCTGGCTTCTCTTTTCCCACTTTGCCATCATCTTTCCTCCTAGGGAAGCCAGCAAGAATACTATGAGCTCTCTAATGCAAGCTAAATATATTAAATCAATCTGTCTCCTGTTTACGAGACTGACCTGAGGCAACCTGCGGGGTTTCCTTTGTAATCCAGCTTTATCCACAAATAGTCCATTCATCACATCCAGGCCCTGGAGCTTAAGGAGAGTCTAGTTACTTATGTGGACAGCTGTCCCTTCTCTGGCAACAACACCTAACTGACCGCAGGTCCTAGATCTCATCTGAAGTACTAACCCTACACGCCTCACCTGCTCTGTGCAGTCCCTCAGCACAGGTCCTAGCAAAAAAAGAGAGGAGTCTGGGAGACAGCATGGATGTCTAGTATTGGGGATGCTTAAAACCTGCAGGGATGTCACAGAACTGGGGATGATAAGCATAGGTCCTGGGAAACACGTCCCACCCTGACACCCCACGGTGCACTAACTTGAGTATTTGTTTATTGTTAGTTTCCTCCAATCTTCACCTGGTCCAGCCTCTTTTCCAGATGAGGATAGTGAGTCCCAAGGTGGCTTGCCTGAAGCAACATAGCTTGCCAAGCCAGTTCTAGTTCTTGCACCCAGATCTCCTGGCACCCAGTGGATTACCACAGTATCAGATTATCCTCCCCTACTTCTCACCCAACTTCGTCCAACTCATCAAGGACATTGCATACTTGTACTCACTCTAGCTTGCATCTCCTTCTCAGAATCCCGGCAGTCCAGACTTTTCACCACCACACTCAGTAATGTCTTCATCATTAAGTGGGAATTCCTTAAGCCTTCAGTGAGATTAGTATAACCGTCAGGCAAGAATGAAGGAGGGATGGGATGGGACTGGAGAGAGGCTCTGCGGCCAGCAGGAAGGCAACCACTTCCTAGGGGCTCAATGGATGGGACTTCCCACCATCTTGTCCTCACCTAGGCAGTGGGAGAGGGCCAGAGTGCCCTCCTCTGCACCCCCACACCCTGGCCTGGGGATCTCAGCTCACAGGCTGCTTCTCCATCTGTGTCACACACAGCCTTCAAGGCAGCGGCCCTGATTCAGAGATGGTACCGGCGCCACGTGGCCCGCCTGGAGATGAGGCGACGTTGCACCTGGAGCATCTTCCAGTCCATAGAGTATGCCGGGCAGCAGGACCAGGTCAAGGTAGGTGGGCTGTGGGACAGGGCCATCCAGCTCTTCTCTCCAGTTCTGGGGCAGCAGCCCCGGGCACTTGGGAGGTAAGACCTATCGCACCTCCTGGGTTCTCTCTTCCTCCTCTCTAAACCAAGCCTCCTTGATTTTTCTGCAGCTCCACGACTTCTTCAGCTATCTCATGGATCACTTCACCCCCAGCAGCCACAATGAGAGTGAGTATAAGCTGCCATGGGGGAGGGGCAAGACACACAGGGGGTGAAACCCTGACCCGCATGGCAGCCAGGGCATGAGCGAAGGGTTGACAAATACATGGCAGGGTGGAATTTTATTCTGGGTTCTCCCAGAAACACACCTGGAGAAAAGGGTTGAGTGAAAGGAGTTTGCTTATTTATTGAGACATGGCCTCACTCTGTCGCCCAGGCTGGAGTGCAGGGGATCATAGCTCACTGTAATCTCCAACTCCTAGGCTCAAGTGAGCCTCTTGCCTCAGCCTCCCAAGTAGCTGGGATTACAGGTGTGTGCAGCCATGCTCAGCTCGGTTTTTATTTTTATTTTTATTTTTATAGAGATGGGATCTTACTTTATTGCCCAGGCTAGTCTCCAACTCCTGGCCTCAAAGGATCCTCCTGCCTTGGCCTCCTGAGTTTATTTGTTAAGTGCAGGAAACACTGGGGCTCGGTGGGAGTGAGGAAAGAGATTCAGGAAAGAGAAAGCAGTCAATACAGGAGCAACTCGGTGGCCTGGGAAACAGGACAAAACACAAGCCTCAGATCTACCCCATCACAGGCAGAGGGAACTGAAACTTTCTGCGTCAAATCTGGGGAGTGATGGTTGAAAGTAGCTGAGAGGGAGGGATGGAGGGTGGTTAACTCCCAGCATCCCCGCCCTCGTGGGCCGAGAGCAGCTGCGCATTGCTGGGGGTGCTGCCAGTTGCCTCAGGCTCTGAGCAGCGTGCCCGCAGATGCCATGGGCTGTTTCTCCACCTCAGGTTTCCCAGTCCTTCGGCTTATGAGCCTAGGCCCTGCGTTTCTGTACACCATTTCCTCCCCAGACACCCTGGTCTGTTGCCACTTTCCTGACCCCTATGCTGGCCAGGTCCTGCTTCCATAAGTCCAGGGCAAGACTATCCTGGGGAGCCCGCAAACAGCGTGTCTGGTCATAAGCCGGCCTCCTTTCTCTCGGACTAGGGGACTTCCTGAACCGCATGTTCATAGAGGAGAGCTTCTCCCAGGACTCTGAGATGGAGAGAGACAGTGGCTACGAGTCCATAGAGGTCCCAGACAGCTACACGGGGCCACGCCTCTCCTTCCCCCTGCTTCCTGACCACGCCACTGCCCTGGTGGAAGCCTTCAGGCTGAAGCGAGTAAGCTCACCTGGGAACCTGGTCACCACCCACTCCACATACTGTGTCAAGGGGGACATGGAAAGAATGGCCCCAAATATAGGGTGCTTACACATGTGTCCACTAGAGATTCCATGCTCCCTTTGCTGAGCCAGGACTTGTGGTCCACCGGTCAGTTCTTTTTTTTTTTTTTTGAGTTGGAGTCTCACTGTCGCTCAGGCTGCAGTGAAGTAGCACACTCACAGCCACCACAGCCTTGACGTGCTGGGTTCAGGTGAACCTTCCACCTCAGCCTTCCAAGTACCTGGAGCTACAGGTGTGTGCCACCACACCTGGCTAATTTTTTGATTTATTATAGAGACAAGGTCTTGCCAAGTTTCTCAGGCTGGTCTCGAACCCCTGGACTCAGGCAACCCTGTTGCCTCTGCCTCCCAAAGTGCTGGGATTACAAGTGTGAGCCACCTCACTTGGCCTACCCGGCCAGTTCTTATGACTGAAAGCCTCTCTTCCCAATCACATCTTTTCTCTAACTATCAGGCACTGCTTTGTGCCCCACACTGTTCTGGGCACTGGGAATACAACAGTAAACAAAACGATACACATCCTTGCCCTTGTGGGGCTGACATTCTAGTGAGGAGACAGACAATAAGAAATAAATAACAATAAATAAGTCAGTTGTGTAGCGTATTAGAAGGTGATCAGAACAGCAGGAAAGAATAACCTAAGTTATGGGCGGGACAAAGGGTGATTCTGCAGAGTTCTCCAGGAAGGTGACTTCTGAGCAGAGGTCCAAGGCAGTGAGGGCTGCGCCTTGGGGGGTATCCAGGGGAAGAGCTAGGCAGAGGAGGGACAAATGCAAGGTCCCAAGGCGGGAGCTGGCCTGGACTGTTCAAGGGCTGACTTCAGGAACGCCACTGTGGCTGGAAGGCAGGGGAGGAGTAGAAAAGGTGGGGAGTGGACTTTTATCCTTTTTTTGAGTCAGGGTCTCACTCTATCACCCAGGCTGGAGTGCAGTGGCACGATCACTGCTCACCACAGCCTTGACCTTCTGGGTTCAGGTGATCTTCCGCCTCAGCCTCCTAAGTAGCTGAGCTTATAGGCATGAGCCACCACACTGGCTAATATTTCTATTTTTTGTAGAGACAGGTCCTTACCATGTTGCCCAGACTGGTCTCAAACACCCGGACTCAAGCAGTTCTTCCGCCTCAGCCTCCCAAATTGTTGAGACTATAAGCATAAGCCACCACGCCTGGCTACTTTTATTTTTCTTAAAGAGATGGGGAAACATTGGACATCAAGCACAAGAATGATATACTCTGACTTGCTTTATAAAATAATCATTGCTGTGTTAAAAATAGAGTGTAGGGCCGGGTGCAGTGGCTCACGCCTGTAATCCCAGCACTTTGGGAATTGGAGGTGAGAGGACGGCCTGAGCCCAGGGATTCGAGATTAACCTGAGCAACTTGGCAAGAACTCATCTCTACAATAAATCAGAAAATTAGCCAGGCATGGTGGCGTGTCTGTCGTTCCAGCTACTTGGAAAGCTGAGGCAGAAGATCGCCTGAGCCCAGCAGTTCAAGGCTGCGGTGGCCGTGAGCGTGCCACTGCACTCCACCCTGGGTGATAGGGTAAGACTCCTGCTCAAAAAAACAAAAAATAGAGTGTAGAGGACAAGAACTGAAGAAGGCAGACCAGCCAGCAGACTACTCAGTCGTCCAGGCAAAAGTTGATAGCGGCCTGAAACCCTGGTAGCAAAGGCAGAACTGGTGAGAAGTGGTCGGATTCCGTCATGAAGTCATAATCCAATCCTTCCCCTCTTCCACATGACTGTAACTCGCCACAGGAGGGAACTGGGATGAGTGTGCCAAGATCTCATCAGCATTCTTACACTTCCTCATATTTCAATGAGACAGTCACGTGGTCCTCCCAAGCAAGGCATGGAAGGGCTTTGTAGAGCAGAAAGAAAAGAGGAAAATGGTTTGATAGCTGCAGGAGGGAAAATGGAGATGATGAAAGCAGAAAGAGGGCAGGAGATGGGTGGAAAAGACAGCATCCATGCAGAGCTGCAGGAGGCGCTTCCTGAGGCTCCGTTGGGGTTTCTGCGACTGGGGTCCCTCAGCAGCACAGGGCGGGCTACCTTCCACCGGCATGTGGGTGCCTCTTTGCTGCCTCTCTCCTCTTCCTCCCAGTAGCAGCTCCATGCATGCTACGTCTTGAACCTTTTGTATGAAGCCAAGAAACACCTGGTTCAGCTGCCAAACATCAACCGGATCTCAACCTGCTACAGCGAGGAGATCACAGTGTGTGGTAAGAGCTGGTCAGAAACTGCTTTCCATGCCAGACACAAGCAAGAATGTGCTGCCATTGGGGACAGGGGTAGTGGGGGGGCTGGGGCTGCCAGCGGGCAGCGTTGACAGACCAGGCTCCACCCCTCCAAAGTGCCCGTGTAAGTATCTGCTCCAACTGCTTGAAGGCAATGCAGTCAAGGGGCCCAAGTTGCTGAGAACCCAGTCCCCGCTTGATGTTCCCAAGCAGTTCAAACAGAGCCAAACTCCCGGTCTCCATTCAGAGCAAAATCCCTGCCAACAAGCAGCCCCTCCTTGTTAGAACACTGGTCATTGATTGGCACTTGAGCATGTCCCAGTGAGGAGGGAATTGTTTCTTCTATCATATGCATTCCTCTCTTGGAGGGAAGTCCTGCTAATGGCAATCTTCCCCATCTGCTTTTGTTTCCAGTGATTTTGTTGTTGTTGTTGTTGTTGTTTTAAGTTTTCAAAGTTTATTTAGAAAGTAAATGAAGTCATTGCTTTGCTAAACTCTGGTCTGGACACATAGCTCTTTGAGCTATGGTCACCATGTTTCCTAGCTTTGGCCCCTCCCCTACCTTGGAGAGATGAATTTCCTCTCTCTCTCTCTCTCTCTCTTCCCTAATTTACTTTCTAACTAAAGTATATTTTCCAATCTAAAAAAAAAAAGGAAAGTAAATGAGAGAGAGAGAGAGAGAGAGGAGTCACCTCTCCAAGGTAGGGGAGGGGACCAAAGCTCAGAAAACATGGTGGCCATAGCTCAAAGAACACATGACCTGACCAATGCTTAACAAAACAATGACCTCCAGTGATGTTTAACATCCAGTGCAGACTGACGCCTCACACCTCAGTCTAGCAGAAGGAGACTATAGCATGCCAGAGGTTTCATGATAGGCAGGCCCATGCAAACCTATCCCTAAAATCCGAGGAGTCTGAGAGGCCAAAGAAAGAGGTTGACGCATCCAGTTTATGAGAAAGAAACATTTATTTATTCATTTATTTATTTTTGAGTCAGTATCACTCTGTCACCGGCTGGAGTACGGTGGTATGCTCACGGCCACCACAGCCTTGACCTGCTGGGCTCAGGTGATCCATCCCCCTCAGCCCTCCAAGTAGCTGGAAGCACAGGTATGTGCCACCACATCTGGCTAATTTTTTTGATTTGTTATAGAGACAAGGTCTCACCGACTTGCCCAGACTGGTCTTGAACCTCTGGAGTCAGACAATTCTCTTGCCTCCACCTCCCAAAGTGCTGGGATTATAGGTGTGAGCCACCATGCCTGGCCAGAAAGAAGTTTCTTTTTTTTTTTTGAGTTGGGGTCTCACTCTGTCACCCAGACTGGAGTGCAGTGGCTGCTCCCGGCCACTGCAGCCTCGTCCTGCTGGGCCCCGGCGATCCTTTCGCCTCCGCCTTCCGAGTAGCTGGAACTACAGGCGTGCGCTACCACACCCGGCTCATTTTTGATTTATTGTAGAGATGAGGTCTCGCCAAGTTGCCCAGGTGGGTCTCGAACCCGCGGGCTCAGGCAATCCACTCACCTCAGCCTACCAAATGCGCGGGATTACAGGCTGAGCCACCAAGCCCAGCTCAGAAAGAAGTATTTAATAGGGACTTACAAACAGAAGCCATGGCTGTGTCTTGAGTGTCATCAAGACCAGATGATGGATCCTTACGCCATGGCCTCTCAAACCCAGGGCTCAGACGCCACAGGGACGGAATGTGTAGGACAATTGTAGGAAAAGGCAAGGATGTTCCGTGAATCTGTCTAAGGACAGATTTTACAGTTAAGGTTGTTTTGATCTAAAAACAGGACTTCAGGTCAGTACATGCTCTTACACAAGGAACAACAACAGTTGATAAGATAGAAATCTTAGGGGCTTTCTCAGAGCTGGGATTAATCAGAAGTCAGCACCGTGGAGTAACATCAAGATGGAGTTAGCCTCCACACCAGGATTGTAAACCGACACTGCTAGGGCCCTCTGCAGGCTACAGATAAATCTTAGGTGTCCTGCAATGTACTTGAACTTTTTAAATTGGCGTTCTAGGCCAGGCACGGTGGCTCACGCCTGCCATCCCAGCACTTTGGGAGGCGGAGGCAGGAGGATTGCCTGAGTTCAGGGCTTTGAGACCAGCCTGGGTAACTTGGCGAGAACTTGTCCTACAATAAATCAAAAATTTAGCCGGGATTGGTGGTGAACACCTATAATTCTAGCACTTGGACGACTGAGGCGGAAGGATTGCCTGAGCCCAGCAGGCTGAGGTGCACTGCACTCCAGCCTGGGTGGCAGAGTGAGATTCCCACTCAAAAATAAAATAAAATAGACGTTCCACCGTTTAAAAATTGAAGAATTTCATATTAAAGTCTACATTGTTCTCTCGAAAAATCTTCTAACATTGGCCTGTATGTAAATAGCCGCTTCCTACCTTAGCTTCTCTCCAGTTGAAGAGATGGCAACATGTCTCCAGTTCTCATCTGGGTTTGTAAGCTTGCATTATTCTACCCCATCTTTGCTTTGGTAAAAAATATAAGCCATTTTCTCCTTATGAAAATCATGCAGAAAAAATTGTGCTTTCTGATTTCAATATTAACCATCACTGCAACAGGAGAAATTGATATTTATCCCTGCCAGGCTCAGTGGCTCATGCCTGTAATCCCAGCACTTTGGGAGGCTGAGACGAGAGGATTGGCTGAGACCCCAGGTTTGAGGCAACATGGCGAGACCTCGTCTCTACACTAAATCAAGAAAAAGTAGCCAGGTGTGGGGGTGCATGCCTGTAGTTCCATTTACTTGGAAGGCTGAGGCAGAAAGGATCACCTGAACCCAGCAGATCGAGACTGTGATGGCCATGAGTGTGCCACTGCACTCCACCCCGGGTAACAGTGAGACTCTGACTCAAAAAAAAAAAAAAAATTTTACATGAGGAAAGACTAGGTACAGTAGTTTCCTAACTTTGTCAGATTTTTTTCTAGGTATTCTCCTTTTTATTGTAAAAATTAGAAACAACAGTAAAAACCACTGGGAACTGATATGCTTTTCTGTCTTTGTTAGGAGATTTACATGGCCAGTTGGATGACCTAATATTTATATTTTATAAGGTAAGAATGTTCACATTAAGTTCCTTTCTTCTTCTGAGGCTTAATTTAGAAGTTCAAATACAGTACCTATTAAATGCTTAAATATTGCTTGGCTTTTTAAAGTGTTATTTTTCGTAATATGCTACTCTGACACAAATATGTAATATAAAATTCAGCACTGCATTATATCCTGGTATATTTTTGTAAATATACCTCAACAAATACAAAATATTAGGTCAATATAAATGCTCAACAAATATAAAATATTAGGTTAATACATAGAAGGAATAATTAATTAGCAGTTGATTTTTTCTAAATAAAGAAAGTTGATTACAAAGCAACCAAAAGCAATTTTTATATCGATTTTTAGTTATAACATGTAGGACGTATAACAAAGCAGATAAATATAATACCTGTCGCCCATGCTAGACTGCAGTGGCATGATCAGAGCTTACTGCAGCCTAGACCTCCTGGGCTCTGGTGATCCTTCTGCCTCAACCTCCCAAGTAGCTGGGACAACAGGCACACGATACCACATCCAGCTAAGTTTTTTTTTACTTATTGTAGAAATGAGGTCTCACTATGCTGCCCAGGATAGTCTCGAACTTGCTGCCTCATTTGGTTCTGTGCTGGGGTTACAAGCGTGATCACCATTCCCAGCCAATAATTTTAATGGATATTACTGTATATACATACTACACTTCTCTCTTCTTTTTTTTTTTTGAGTTGGAGTCTCACTCTGTCACCCAGACTGGAGTGCAGTGGCATGCTCCTGGCCACTGCAGCCTCGCCCTGCTGGGCTCCAGCAATCCTTCTGCCTCAGCTTTCCAAGTAGCCGGAGCTACAGGCGTGCACTACCATGCCCGGCTAATTTTTGATTTATTGTAATGATAAGGCCTTGCCAAGTTGCCCAGGTGGGTCTCGAACCCGCAGGCTTAGGTAATCCACTTGCCTCAGCCTTCCAAATTGCTGGGATTACAGGCTGAGTCACCTAGCCCGGCCCATACTACACTTCTTGAAGCATTTCCCCATGCGTTATCTTGTTGAGTCCTGAGGAACCTATGGCAGTGATTATTATTAAACATATTAATTCAATTATTTAATACATCATGCAATAGTTATAATGTGTGTTATATACAGGGGATGCAAAAAAACGTATACACATTTTAAGTATGACATTCACTCTAAAGATGGTGTTCATCAAATGAATGCTAGGGTCACCATGAGACAGGCAGGACAGTTAAAGCAAATGGCGGGTTAGGCTCGATGGTTCAGCCAGTAATCCCAGCACTTTGGGAGGCTGAGGCGAGTGGATTGCCTGAGCTCGCGGGTTCAAGACCAGCCCGGGCAACTTGGCAAGACCTCGTCTCTACAGTAAATCAAAAATTAGCCGGGCATGGTAGCGCGAGCCTATAGTTCTGGCTACTTGGAAGGCTGAAGTGGAAGGATCACCTGAGCCCAGTAGGCCATGGCTGTGGTGGCCATGAACATGCCACTGCACTCCAGCCTGGGCAACAGAGTGAGACTCCAACTCAAAAAAAAAAAAAAAGCAAGAAAATGGCAGAGGCACAGTTGAGCAAACATCCTACTACACATTGCTACCATAGTTCAATTCAACTTCAAAAAGTAATACCTAGATAACATCTCTTAAAATGTGTATACAGGCCAAGCGCTGTGGCTCATGCCTATAATCCCAGCACTTTGGGAGGCCAAGGTGAGAGGATTGCCTGAGCCCAGGGTTTCAAGACTAGCCTGGGCAACTTGGTAAGACCTCATCTCTACAATAAATCAAAAAAATTAGCTGGGCATGGTGGCACATGCCTGTAATTCCAGTTACTTGGAAAGCTGAGGCAGAAGAATCATCTGAGCCCAGCAGGTCAAGGCTGCAGTGGCCATGAGTGTGCCACTGTACTCCAACCTGGGAGACAGAGTGAGACTCCAACTCAAAAAAAAAATGAGTATACATTTTTTGGCATCCCCTATATTATGTTATATTAATATGTGGTATATATTAAGTGTGTTAAATGTTAAAGATAGTGCAGCCTTTGGATCACAAATTTAACTCCCTTTGTCCCACACCACACGGCTATACTCACTCTGGCTTGGAATAAAGCATGTATTTTGACAAGCGTCTCATAACCTCAGCCTGATTGGAAAGGAAAAATAAGATCAATAGGCCTGGAATTCCAGCACTTTGGAAGGCTGAGGTGAGATGATTGATTGCTTGAGGCCAGAAGTTCAAGAGCAGCCTGGGCAACACAGTGAGACCCCATTTCTATTTAATTAATTAATTAAGAGCAATAGAAGATATTTCCATCTTTGACTGACATTTCATGTGTGGAGGAAACCCAGGAAGCCCAGAATTGGTGTTATTTCTGATGTGACTGTCCAGTGCTCATTGGTTGTAACCTGATTGCTTTCTTCCTCCTTCCACTGACTCTGGCCTGCCTTCTCATTGGGAAGAATGGCCTCCCATCACCAAAGCGGCCGTACGTGTTCAACGGCGACTTTGTGGACCGAGGCAAAGATTCCATAGAGATCCTGATGATCCTTTTTGCCTTCATGCTGGTTTACCCAAAAGAGTTCCATCTTAACCGAGGAAACCACGAGGACCACATGGTGAACTTACGGTACACGCCAAAGCACGCTTGGGTATTGCATGTTTGTCTGTTGCGATTGTAAAAGGTTGTTTTGCCAGACCTTCTTGTTTGTTAGATACCTTTAAAAGTACTTTTCCAATTTTTTAAAAAAGGAGAATACACACTAGATAACATTTTTAAAGGTTTTAAAATATTTATGCATATCTTACTATTCCAATAAAACCATTACATTCTTTTCACATACCCATCTTCTTTGCCATACAAACAATAAGCGTTCATGATCAGCAAAAGGAAGAAAGCTAAACTATCCCATAATTTTTCTAACCAGAGATAATGTTATAATTATACACATTTCGGTGATCATTCCTCAGTCTCTTTTCTATAAATTTAAATGCATGTATCTAGAATATGCTTTTTTTTTTTTTTTAAGTTGGGGTGTCACTCTGTGACCCAGGCTGGAATGCAGTGGCAAAAATCACAGTTCACCGCAGCCTCAATCTCCTGGGCTCCGGTGATCCTTCTGCCTCAACCTCTCAAGTAGCTGGAACTGCAGATGTGTGCCACCATGCCTGGTTAATTTTTGAAGTTTTGTAGAGACGAGGTCTCACTTTGTTGCTCAGCCTGGTCATGAACTCCTGGGCTCCAGCGATCCTCCTGCCTTGGTCTCCCAAAGTGCTGGGATTAGAATAGGCATTTTTATAAAAATGTGTCATGCCCTAACTATTGCCACTATATTTACTTTATATCTGTTTTTGCTTCTAAATCTAGATATGGCTTCACCAAGGAAGTAATGAATAAATATAAGGTGCGCTGCCTTTAAAAGAAAAAGTTTCTTGTAGTTCAGAGAAGTTGAGTGAATTATCTGATAATCAACATTTTGTTAATATCATTTTTCAGATACATGGCAAGAAAATACTAAGAACCCTGCAAGATGTTTTTCGTTGGCTTCCGCTGGCCACTCTGGTAGATGAGAAAGTTCTAATTCTTCATGGAGGGGTGTCAGACATGACCGACCTCAAGCTTTTGGACAAACTAGACAGACACAAGGTACTGACTAAAGAAATAATACACATTTCACCATAATGCCATTTCACTGCTAGCATAAAATGAATGTCATCTTGTATACTGACTCCAGTTGACTGATAATTGTTGTTGAGTCCACAGCTGGGCTCAGGGTCAAGTGTACTGTAATCAGTAATGTCAACTATGGACATGCTATGGGCAGTGGCAGCCAGTGCCATGCATTTGCCATTTCTGATCTGGATAATTCTTCTCTTTTGAGTCAGAATCTCACTGTCACCCAGGCTGCAGTGCAGTGACACGCTCACGGCCACCATCACAGCCTCCATCTGTTGGGCTCAGGTGATCCTTCCACCTTAGCCTTCCAAGTAGCTGGAACTATAGGCATGTGCCACCATGTCTATAATTTTTTAATTATACAATAATTTTTAAATTTATCATAGAGACAAGGTCTCACCAAGTTGCCCAGGCTGGTCCTGGACCCCGGGCTCAGGCAATCCTCTCACCTCTCCCTTCCAAAGTGCTGGGGTTACAGGTCAGAGCCACCACGCCCAGCTGATCTAGATAATTCTAATAACTACATCTCAATCACTGTCATCTGAAGAGCCTCCATTTCCCAAATAATGTATAGCATCTTCAATTAAAGTCAACAAATTTGTATTTGGTGCCTACTACTACACTCAAGGAGAGAGCTATTGGCAGAGACAAAGATGAAGATCGATTTCAGTTAAACTCAACACGTTTTGAGTGCTCACTTTGTGCAAAGGAAATGTTAAAGGAGATACTAACGTGAACCAGAGACAATGCCTGCCCTACAGGAACTTACAATAACCAGTGTGTGTTGGGGTGGGGGTGGGAGAGTGTGAGACAGAATGTATTATATCCCAATAACAATAAGTTTCTTTCTTTCATCTTTTTATTTTTTAGAGACAGAGTCTCACTCTGTTGCCCAGGCTGGAGTATAGTGATGCGATCATAGCTCACTGCAGCCTTGAATTCCTGAGCTCAAGTAATCCTCCTATCTCAACTTCCCAAGTAGCTGGGACTACAGGCACATGTCACCATGCCTGGTTAATTATTTTATTTGTTATGGAAGCGAGGTTTCACTATGTTGCTCAGGCTGATCTTGAACTCCTGGTCTCAAGCAATCCTCCTGCCTAGGCCTCCCAAAGTGCTGGGATTATCAGCATGAGCCACCACACCCAGTCCCAATAACAGTATGTTTTCCATTTTATTTTGGAAATGACAAGTCTAGAAGGCAAAATTTCTGTTTTCTTTTAATAACAGAGTCTTACACTGGAGGGGTACCTTACAGTTCCTAAACTCCAGCTGCTCATTCCCCTGTTACAACATTCTTAACATTTTCCTTTGAGGTTTCAAAGACAAGGAACTCATCACCACACAAGCCAGTCTACATAAATTTTGGGCTGCTTGAATGTATGTGAAAGTCTATGGATATGTGACATAGCTTGGCTTTAGAGTCACACAGACGTGAATTGAGTCTTGGAAGTGGCAGTTATTCGCTGAAATGAAATGGCAATTTTGTTTTACCAAGTTGTCCAGAGACCCAGGCTTCCCCAGTCTTTCCTGCATCTCTAGGGTGTCATCCCCATGCCTTCACCTGCATCACCCAGGATAGCTTGCTACCACATTAGTGTTCCAAGCAATAGGAGAGAGGAAGGAAGGGAAGAAGAGTGTGCCTGCCCTTTAAGACACACCTTCCCTCACTCCAGGGGTCAGAATGTGATCACAAGGCCACCCCTCACTGGAAGGGAGGCTAGAGAGTGCAGTCTTTTCTCAGGGTGGCCATATTCCCGGCAAAAGAAATGGGAGTTTCCATTCCTATGAGAGAACTGAGACACCAATTTAAGAATAGTGATATTCAAAGATAACCAAGTGTGGAAGTATTTCCTTTTTTTTTTCCTGAGTGGGTATGGTGAGTGATTAACTCATGACCTATGAAGTCAAATAGAAATGAAGTCAGAGTCTCACTCTGTCACCCAGGCTGGAGTGCAGTAGGATGACCATGACCACCGCAGCCTCCACATGCTGGGCTCAGGCAATCCTTCCGCGTCAGCCTTTCAAGTAGCTGGAACCACAGGCGGACGCCACCACAACCACCTAATTTTCTTAGATATATTGTAGAAATGAGGTCTTGCTATGTTGCCCAGACTGGTCTCGAACCCATGGGTTCAGGCAATCCTCTCGCCTCATCTTCCCAAAGTGCTGGGATGACAGGTATAAGCCACCACGCCTGGCTCCATAGTCTTTACTTCAGATTTTTACCTGCCCATGTAAGAATCAGTGGTTCTATTATTAAGGAGGAAGGATAGACAAACATTATAGTGGCAACACTTTCACGTGGTTTGTTTCTTTGGCTCCCTACATTTCAATACATGCTCTTCTTCCCACCCATACAAGCACATCCATTCCTCCCCAGGGAAGACCACATTCAGGCTCATTCAGCAGTTACATCCAGCTCAGAGTCCAAGGTTTCTAGATATAGGTGCTATTAGGTAAGCATATGATTCCTTGTGGTTTGGAATAAAAGACACACTATGTGTCCCTGTACACTGAAATTCAATGTTGGAAGAGGGAAAAAAAAAATGGCTCCTTGGCAGAGGCAGAGGAGGGCAGGCCTGCAACATCCCATGGCTCCATCCAAAAATCCTTGTTACGAAATCCCCTCTCCACTTCTCTGCAATCTCAACCCTTTCAAGAGAGCGAGGGCACAAGGGACCATCAGCCTATTCTCGGCATTTCCTTTGCCAAGTATGTTTGTTGTCTGGCACCTTGTGTTTTTGCTTTTGGCTTTTTGACTTCCACATCTACGATATCCTGTTTCTCAGAAACTTTCAATTTGAGTATTCCACTCAGCTGCCTCTGGGTCTGGAGGCAGAAATGGTAAGTAACAGCAGAGCAGATTGTCTCATGGAAAGAATCATATGTGACTACTGAAAAACAGAAGTGGGAACTTTGGGAAAGAGTGCTGAAGAGCTGTTGTGGCTTAGCAAAAAGCTTGCATCCCAATGTGTGGTTTACAAAGATCTGGAGAGAGGACGATGTGGCAAATCGTCCCTGCCAGTGGCCACTATGGGAGAGGAGTACAAAGAATGGACTTTAAAGCCAGACTAGCTGGGGTCAGCCCTGGAAGAGTCTTAGTGACTTTGTGTTTCAGTTTTCTTTTGTTTTGTTTTGTTTTGTTTTGAGTTGGAATCTTGCAATGTTGCCCAGGTTGGAGTGCAGTGGCACTCTCACAACCACCACAACCTCAACCTTCTGGGCTCAGGCGATCCTTCTACCTCAGCCTTCCAAGTAGCTGGAACCACAGGCGCACCAAGTTGCCCAGGCTGGTCTCAAACTCCTGAACTCAGGCAATCCTCTCGCCTCCACTTCCCAAAGTGCTGAGATGACAGGTGTGAGTCACTGCCCCCAGCCTCTCAGTTTTATCTGTACTATCAGTGATGATGCTATCTTAAGTGGTTGGTCTGAAGGGTAATCAATTAATTTAGGTAAAGTGCCCAGAATAGTACCTATTTAGAAAAGACTCAATACCTATTAACACTACTAATCTCCTTAAGAATCAAAGTTGAGGCCTGGCTTGGTGGCTCAACCTGTAATCCCAGCACTTTGGGAGGCCAAGGCAAGTGAATTGCCTGAACCTGTGGGGTTGAGACCAGCCCAGGCAACTTGGTGAGACCTCGTCTCTACAATAAATCAAAAATTAGCCAGATATAGGTAGCACGTGCCTGTAGTTCCGGCTACTTGGAAGGCTGAGGTGGGAGGATCGCCAGAGCCAGCAGGTTGAGGTGGCCGTGAGTCTGTCACTGCACTCCAGCCTGGGCAACAAGGTGAGACTCCAACTCAAAAAAAAAAAAAAAGAAAGAATCAAAGTCAGGGACGCTTCTTGGAGCAGATAATAACACCCTTAAGATAAAATTAGCTGAGAGTCGAAAGGGGTGGGCCTGGAGGACTAGCCCTCACCACGTGGCCGTGAGGAGAGGGAAGCAGTTATGAGCTGGCTCATGTTCTGTGGCCTTTCACTGCCTGTGCTTAAGACTGGACGCTGCCTGGAGAGTGATTAGCATGTGTCCGATGTTGGAGAATAGTTTCTGTTCTCATCTATTCAGTCTGGACTCACCTTCTAACATAGTTCAGTTCTACCAACTCTCTCTGGGGGTTCTGCTCCTTCCCAAGCCGGTCCACACTGGCACATGGCTTTCTTGTATCACAGCCCTTAGATCTCTGCAGAAAGTTCTCATTCTTGAATGATGTGCTCACACGAGGTTCCCTTTGTGAGCTAGACCATTATCAGGGTCTCCCCCAGTCTTCACTGCAGCACCCAGGCAAGCCAGAATGGCTGCGCTCTCATTTGGCTCAAGGCCACAGTCTGCTCTGGGGCCTGACCCCCCTCTCCTGTGACCAGAATTCATCCTACTTGGTTCTTCCACATTCCAGACCCGGTCCCAGCACCGTGATGACTGTGAATCAGTGGGAGGGATTACACTCAGTTCCTTGTGGCAAGAGAGTGTCTTACTGACTAGGTCCAAGAGGATCCACCCCCCCTACAACCCCAGTAAAATAATGGGTGCTATAGCAGTTGTTTGTTTTTTTTTTTTACTGTTTATTTTAAAGATGTAGGGTACAATTCAGGATTAGGTCCATAAGTGGTCATCCTACAGATGAAGTTTGGGCCTCTCATTAAGTCTCACTTCACTTACTTTGGGATCAGGTAGCCTTATTGATGTTATCTCCACCCCACCCCGACCCGCAGTGTCCCACTACTGCTAATCCCTTTCTTATATTATTATGGTAAATATTTATAGTTCACTTATGAGTGAGAACATGTGGTACTCTGTTCTTCGTTTCTGTGATAGATCACTGAGTATGACAGACTCTAGATCCATTCAAATTGCTGTGAAGTTCACACACAATTTTGTCCTTCTTTATGGCTGTGCAGTATTCCATCATGTATATGTACCACTTTTTAAAAAAAATCTCGTCCACTTTAGATGGGCAGCACGGTTGGTTCCATGTTTTTTCTTTTGTGAATAGTACTGCAATAAATAAGCGTGTGGAGATCTCTTTTTCACAGAGTGATTTGAGTTCCTCTGGGTATATTCCCAGAAGGGGGATTGTGGGGTCGTATGGAAGGTCGATTTTTAGATCTTTTAGAAATCGCCCCACGGTTTTCCACAGAGGCTGTACTAGTTTACACTCCCACCAACAGTGTAGAAGTGTTTCCTTTTCCTCGCAGCCTCTCTAGCATCTGTTGCTTTTTGAGTTATTGTTGATGGCCATCCTGAGTTAGGTGGTTACTTCAGTGTGGTTTTGATTTGCATTTCTCTGGTGATTAGTGAGGCTGAGGCATTGTTTCATGTGTCTGTTGGCTGCTCATATGTCTTCTTTTGAGAATTATCTATTCATATCTTTGACTCACTTTTTAATAGGACTGTTTTTTTCCTTTCAGCACTTTTGAGTTCTTTGTAGATCCTGATGTTAGGACTTTGTCAAATATACATTTGGCAGATATTGTTTCCCATTCTGAGGGCTGTCTCCCCTCCTCTTGAAGGCTTCTTTTGCTTTGCAGAGACCTTTCAGTTGATAAGGTCCCACTTGTCTATCTTATCTCTTATGGCATGGGCTTTTGGGGTTCTGATCAGGAATTGGTTGCCTATTCCAATTGCATAAATGCCATTAAGTGCTGCCCAGCCTCTCTCTCCACCCTCCCCGCCCCCCAACCCCCTCCCCAGCTAGAGTCAAGTTTCACTGATTCTTCAACCACTTATTTCATTGCTTCCCCTTTGTTTTAGTCCCTGTGGAACAACAGGAAAATCAATAGGGGCTTGCCTTTCTGAGAGAGAGAGAGTTGCCCTTTCCCGTCTAGAACTACTAGGTTCCTAAAGAGAAATGTGACTGCATCAGTCCATTTTGCATGGCTATAAAGAAATACCTGAGGCTGGATCATTTATAAAGAAAAGAGGTTTATTTTGGCTCTCGGTTCTGCACGGCGCTGCATCTGCTGAGGTCTCAGGAGGCCACAGCCCTGGTGGAAGGTGAAGGGGGTGCAGGTGTATCACATGGAGAGAGCAGGAACCAGAGAGAGAGGAGATGCCAGGTTCTTTTGAACAAACAGCTCTAATGGTGAGAACTATTAATAATAATAGTAGTTACAATTAATAATATTATTAATTATGAAATAATTATTATATACAATTAATAATAATGATAATTCACTCACTACCACCACGGCCACACCAAGCAGGGGATCTGCTCCCATGATGCAGCCACCTCTATGAGGCCCCACCTCCAGCACTGAGGTGGGGGGGGGTCACTTTTTTTTTTTTAATCAGTCTCACTCTGTCACCCAGGCTGGAGTGCAGTGACATGCTCACAGCCACCACAGCCTCATCCTGGGCTCAGGTGATCCTTCCGCCTCAGCCTTCCAAGTAGCTGGGGCTAAAGAGTGTATGCCAACACGCCTAGCTAGTTTTTGATTTATTATAGAGATGAGGTCTCACCAAGTTGCCCGGGCTGGTCTCAAACCCCTGGGCTCAGACAGTCCTCTAGCCTCTACCTCCCAAAGTGCTGGAATTACAGGCGTGACCCACGCGCCCTGTCACGGGGGTCACATTTCAACATGAGGGTTTGAGGGGACAACCCGTCAAACGATATCAATGCCCTAGGTTAAGATGTTTCTTAAATCATCTGTGGCAAAGACCAGGTTTGAAAAGTTTACCATTTGTGGCAGATGACACCATGCGTCTCAGGTTACTCTTAGGTCTGCGCTTGTCTGTCTCGGGCCAGAGGCCAGCAGGGCACAGCCCAGAGCACGTGTGTGGACACCTGGGTGTGGGACTGCCGGGCCTGGACGTCTGTATGGTGCTGGGCAAGGACCTGGTTTCACGCCAGCCCGTCTCTCTTTCTGGACGTGTCTAGATCGTCTCCACCTTGAGATGCAAAACGAGAAAGGACAGCGACAAGCAAGCGCCGGAGCCGGAGCCGGAGCCGGAGCCAAAGCAAGCCGGCCCGACGGGCCCTGCGGAGAAGCCGGTGCCCTGGTTCCTCCCCCAGAGCCGCTCCCTGCCGTCCTCGCCCTTCCGGCTCAGCTCGGACCGGGCCCCCAAGGCCAGCCGCTCCTGCAGCATCCCCTGCAGCGGCCCCCTGGACCGCAAGGAGCTGTCCCGGCGGGTGCGGCGTTCCGTGGACCTGGAGCTCGAGCGCTGCAGGCAGCAGGCGGGCTTCCCCGCAACCCGCGAGAAGCAGGAGCCCCCGCTCGCCGTCCCGGAGACCGAGGCCGAGGCCGAGGCCGAGACCGAGGCCGAGGCCGAGGCCGAAGCCGAAGCCGACGCCGAAGCCGAAGCCGAGCCCACGCGCGGGGAGTGGAGGCAGGTGGGTGCGGCCGGCGTGCGTTCAGCGTGGCGCCGCCGGATCGAGTCCCCACGTCGGTGGACTTGCTCTTTAAGCTCTGGGGAATTAGAGCACCCCAGAGGACATTGGTATTTTCCTAATGACATATACATATATTTTTAAATATATGTATTTTTTTACTTATATATTTATATTTTAAAATATATTTATATTATCTATTTTAATATTTTAAATATATTTGTGTTGTATGTATTTTAAATATGCATATTTTATTTATATATTTCCGTATTTTAAAAATATATATTTTTGTATATATTTAAAATATACTTATATTTTAAAATATATTTTAAAATATATTTTTATGTATATATTTATATTTTGTATATTTTAAAAATACATATATTTTTAAATTATATGTTATATTCTAAAATATATTTATACTACATATATATATATATATATATATATTTTTTTTTTTTTTTTTTTTTTTTTTTTT